CCTTGGTGGGAATTGCGTCGATACGCGCGAGATTCTCGGTAAGTCCTCGATAACAAAATACAGTGAAATAAATTCATGAAGTACTGAAGTAAGGGAAAAGTTATCAAAAAAAAAACCCCCCAGGCTGGAACGCACCAGGCTTTTCGATGCGATCATGCCTTTTGCACTAAACTCGCAGACTGCTGTCAGCAGGAATGATCCCTACGCTGTAGCCAAACACTCGAAATCATATTGGCCGGGCTTTATCCCTTTCCGGCAAGCAGGAGGAAGGGCATCAGCTGGGATGAAGGTGGTGCATTATAGAGCCGCATGGTCCTCCAGGTACATGATTACTGGTTTTTTGCACGAAGCGCGGTTATTTTTTCAGTGAATGCTCGTTTCTTCCGGTAAATTTCCAAAATCTTACTCCAAAATTTTACTCATAATCTTTTTCAACTCATTTGCACAGACTCGCACAACAAAATGTCGACAAAAAAAATTCGATTCAATTATTCATGGTTCTCAGGATTTCTCCCTTCCCTACCATCAGCGCACGGGCGATAAACAAGCTGGGCGAAGTATGTGTGAAAGTTTTTATATGCATGTATTTATGTATGTGCGTCACTTTATCATATGAAAATTTTCTGGTCATTTTCTAGGTCCACCTTTAACAGAATTAATCGACACATACCTCAGTGTGGCTGGGGCCAATTACGGTAGCGTTTTGTGCATTGTGCCGATACCAGTTGGGACATGCAATCGGAGAACCGGACTGCACTGCAAGTCCACATTCCTGCAGGATATTAATGCACAGACTCGATATGAAGGGACATTCATTTTCAGTATTTTTTCGGATGGCGATGAAAAGGTACTTTTTTGCTTATTTTATCCTTTTTTCATACATAGCTTAACAGATGCGGAAGAAGAGGAAAGGGAAAAAGGAGGATAAGAAAGGAAGTGAAGAAACTGAAGAGGAGGAAGACGAACTTTTCTGGTTTTACATGAAAGTCAAATGAAAAGCACTAGATAGGGACGTAATTGAAAACTTTTTTTGTGAGATATGTGGTTTTGATAAAAGCATTGATGGTGAATTCGGCAATATTCACTGGAGATGAAGTTCGGACAGTAAAATTTTGTAGGGGATTTCTGCACACTTATTATATAGACACATTACTTTGTTGGGAATTAAATAGCACTTCGCTGTTATGTGATTTACTAAAAGTTCCGGAAAAATTTTCTTTTGTTTTGCTACAAAATCACTTATTCTACCCCTTCTATCTATAAAAAAAAGTATAGGATAGAGGATGCTTTGCATTTCTGCTTGGACATTTCTTCCAGTTTTAATGTTGAGAAAAAAAATTGATAGAGTAGGGTTACTGACACCGAAGGTCTTGTTGTGGAGGAGGAACTTCCTCAGGTCGCTTTACCCCACAACATTAATAATTAATTGTATTTC